TAAAATGATGTAGCACAGGAAATAAGTAGATACAACTTGATCCCATGTATTTAATGTTTACAAATAGGTATGATTAAGAATGAAATTCATGGATGAAACACAAAACTACGATGAACAGTATTTAATTGCAGATACCTACAGAAAGAAAAGCACTTTTTGGTTTTGTCCCATGTATTTCCAGAGTGATAATGACATCACAGAATTCTACTACAACTTTTTGGGTGTTTTGGGTCTTTTGTTCCTCTTTTCTGTTTTGCATTATTTAACATTAAGTTTTTATAATTAAAATCTTAACAAATGAAGATGAGAGTGTGTTCATTTATAACCAATTTTATTTAATTTACTTGATTCAATTTAAAAGGTAAAGCTGGGTGGCTAATGAAATTTTCAGTTTAATTTGTGCACTAAATAGTAACAAGTAGGAAACAATCACGTAAAATTTTAATTAGAATTTACAGAGGGAATGAGAATTTAGTCAAATTAACATTGGGTTAACCTAAAATTATTTTGATTATTTTTTAATCTTAAAAGCTTGCATTTTTCAGTTATGTTACTGCTTTAAAAGTGGTAACTATCATAATTAATTTAAATGAAAATTGATTGTACAAAAAACCCCCAAACTTTTCAAGAGCTATCTTCAAAACAGCAAAACAAAATCAAATCACTGCTTATGCTTTTGTTTTCTCCAATTTATTTACTCAGCTAAACACAACTGAATTAAAAAAAAATAGCCTCTGTTTCTTGCATTATCCCTCAGTGCAGAAGCAAAAAAATTTTCATGAGTTCAAAGTTGCATACTTTTTCAATAGCAGTTTTTTTATTCATTGACATTTCAGCATGATTATCTTTCATAAGTTATACGCTGTTTTTCCCCACAGCTACAATCCCAGATTAGTTTGTAGCATCAAATGTTGACTCTGCAGGAGCGTTAAGTGTTAGCACTAGTTCCTTCATTATGCATTGAACTGAGAATTAGAATTTAATTCTTGAGTGGGAGGAGAAAAGTGGAAGAAGTATTTACCATCTTGGAATCAGAAAGTTATGATTTTTTTTTGTTTGTTCTCTGCTTTTCCCAGTGAACTGAATTCCAGTTACATTTACTGAGTACTTAAATGAAGGAGAAAAATGAACAAAAGCTTTTAAAGCAGATGATGCCAGTCATGTTTTTCTTTTGATTTGGTTTGCATTTTATGCCGTTTGTTCTTTCAGTTAGTGTATGTTTAGCCAACCATCAGCCCCATCCTGAAAGTCAACAATAATAAAAATGTAAATCATCATCAAAAGCATGCCTTGCAGTGAGAGAACATTTCAAAGATTGTTTATCAGTTGTTCATTTTCTCCTGTCAGATGTTGAAATCTTTTACTTCCCATCATATTGCACAGAAATGCAGCTTTACTGATAGTGTCTACTTGTAGCTTAGCTGTGAAAAAGTCAAAATTTCATTTTGTAAAAGCAGTTATCACACAGAGTACTGCAGACCTAGGTTATTGGTCCTTATTTAGCAAGCTCATAGATAAGATGTCTAATTTCCTGGCCAACCTTTTTGTATGTGCGTGTGTGTGTATGTGTGTGTAAGAGTGTGTATATGTGTGTGTGGGCCCATTAAAATATATAAGATTAAAAAAAAATACCCTATACAGCTTTTCCACTTGCAGTATACAGATACAGAAATAATGTAAACATCAGCCATGAAGTCACTTTGAAAAAATAAGATTTTAATTATTAAATTAACTGTTAATATTATATTACAGTATTTTTAAGAGCTACATAAAAATTTAATTAGAAATACGAGATGTGGGGACTACCTGACTTAACATTGGGCACAATTCTATACATGCTCAATCAAGTTCTTCAGCTGTTGATTTAAGTTTTAAAAATTTCCATATCTAAATTAGAATTGTTCTGAAAAAAAATGAAGGGAAAATGGATATGTTAACCCTTTTAATACAGAATTCTGTAGTAGAAAATGTGCAATAGAATAGAGGTTTGTCTACTATCTTTCCATAGATGACTTCTCTGATACATTAAAATAATACTTCTATTTTCAGCTAAAGGACCTTATAGTAAATTTTTTTCTTAATCTCAAAAATACTAAAATACAAAAAGTAATGAATAGTAAAAAATAACATATTTTGATATAATCTTAGTGAGGTACAATGAATGAGTGGTTAAAAGCCATGTTTAGTCTATCTGAGAGAAAAATCTGAAGTCACAGTTATTTTAAGAACTCTTTCTGTACCTGTTTTTTACATAACACATGAACAGTTTCTTAGTTGTCTTTATTTGGGTATATTTTTTTAATTATTTTTCACTTTGATTATAGCTCATAGTTTTGAAAGAAATGCAGCCACCATAATGAAGTTGTTAGAAATGGAGGAGAACGATTAATGGAACTATAGAATGGAAGTGCTAGGTTTGATCCCAGCATTGTTTCTCTGAACGCAGAATTATGAAAACAGAATTTCAAATTAAAATTACAGATCTATTTAATAACATCTACTTTCATTTTGTACTTTTCTGTTCACAATAGTGTATCATGGAAGAGCAGGTATATTCTCTCCTGCACATCAGATACATTCTGTAATTTCAGCTGCAGTTGAAGCAAACACAAGTGCAAAAATAATTTTGTGGATGGTTTTCTCTGCACTTCTTAAAATTTTTCTCTAAATCTATATTCCCTTCTTAGCAGAGCAAAATGAAACCTTGATGACTGTTAATACTAAACTCATTTAATAATATAAATAAGGATCTAAAAATATAATAATGATTACAGACATTAAACGGTAGTTAGAAAAATATAGGTAGCTACTACATTGCCAGGACAGATGAAAATAAATGCATTCATACCTGATTTCCAAGCCCTTTCTCCCTGAACCTACAATGTAGCATTTTCTTTTTATGCTTCAATGAGTTGCTTTTCATAATTAAACAACTATCTGTAGAGCAGTTCTTTATGTGTTTATTAAAGATTCTCTAACTCATTTCCTGTTGACACAAAACTGTTTGAGTGGCAAAGTAACTGTTACAAATAGCTGACATCCAAGGAAACGAAGGGGACTGTTTAAGTGAGTTAAGTTTGCTCATGTACTTCCATTAGGAATTTTTAAACTGTAATCTTTACTTGAATTTAATTACTGTTGTGCAATGCTTTAATTCCTTTAAAAATAACATTAATTTTAGTGCATTTTAAAAGTCTGTAAGCATTATCTATGCTTACATAGATAACATGAACATCTGTCTAAAATGGCTTGATTCCAAAGATACTACAAAAGTTAAAGTTCAGTTGGTGATTTTGTCCATTGTTTAGCTAGCACCAATTTTGTAAGGTCTGAACTTAACCATTGCTGTAATTCAGCTTCTCCCTCTCCCTTCTCATTTTCTTTTTAGGAAAGAGAGTGGAAAAAAATCCACTCACCTAACAATATTGTTTAAGTCCCTGAAAAAGTAGATAAAAACCCTCTACACAAAATCTAAAATGAAAGCTAAAAATTGTATGAATTCCATATATACCCTTTCAAACATTATTTCAAACTTTATCATTTCCAACTCTTAATAACATTTTAATTATTAACTAATCCCAACTTCAGCTTTTGTGGATGCATTTTAAAAGAAGTAGCCGTTATCTCACGATGTAAATTAAATAGTTGTTGTCAGGTCTATTCAATAGCATATTATTTTATTTACCCCACAGCTGATAACAGTCATACAATTCACTCCAGACTGGTCTTCCCATAAGTTAGAGCTATAATGTCTCCAAAAGGGATAAAGAAAGTCATATCCTCTACTTCTCAGCTTATTTTCATCATTACATATATTCTTATACTATAATAAATCACATGAAATACTTTTTGCAGCTACAGGGCTCAAGGAGTATCTTCTGTGCTTGATATTTATTTGCACTCCAAAAATATATCTGAATCTTGCTGAATGAGGATCTGTGTGGTACACTAATACAACAGTGTTTAGGCATGTTTAGAGTTTAGAAATGTAATTATATGACACAAATCTAATCATACTATATGCATTGTCTCAAAACATGCATAGGTTTTATATGAAATGCAGCATCCAGAATATGTTGCTCAGTAAGCTGTGAAAGGGAGGTGAACATCCTGAAAGTCTGAGCTCACCATATGACATGGGAGAGGAAAAAATACTCATCTTCTTATGCAATTAAAGAGCACTTTGAAGGACCACCCCTGACTACTACAGCCAGTTTGTAGCCCATACCTAACCAGATGGTGGGCTATGTTGCTGGAGAAAAATTCTCTAGTGAATAGTGGGACTGATTCTGTTCTCATTGATTCCCTTAATGCAGAACAGAGGAGCAGAAAGCCAGAGTAGCCCTGGGTTTTCTTTCATTTCTATCCAATTTCCTCCTGGGTGTTGGTTTTTGGTTTTGTTTTATTTTGGGGTTTTGTGCTAGGGAAAAGAGATAAAAAGGAAAGAACTCTGAAGTAAATAGATACTGAGAACTAGGATTAAATTTAGAGGAAGATGCTCAGTACCTTATTGGGTCCTCCCACATAACAGCTCTGCATCACCAGTCATGATGACAAGTTTGGAGATCTTGGAAAAACAGATCTTGGAAAGGAGCCATATTTTTGGCAAAATATCTATGCATGCGATTAATTGATTTCTAGGCCTGCTGTGTGCTTCCATCATTCTGTTGTGATCACAAAAATAGACCTCTGCACACAGGGTAACTTTGTGTAATGTGAAGGAACTTCACAGGCCTGTTCTTTTTCTTCAGTGAAGGATAACATGGTTTATTGTCAAATGGATTAGACCATAGACAGAGAACAGTGGAATGGCTGGTGACACAGAATAGTGAAAGGACAGGAGTTTGTGGACAGAAATTGAAATACAGGAAGTTACAGTGGAACATAGGAAAATACTTTTTTTACTATGAGAGTGGTGAAGAGAGGCAGCGGAGACTCTCCAAGCTATTCTAAACCTAACTGGACACAGTCTTCAGTTGGGCTGGGCTGGGCTAGGTGGTCTTCAGAGGTTTCTTCCAACCTCAGCTGCCCTGTGATCCTGTCAATCAGTAAGGAAATGTTATGAAAGAAAACACGACAAAGATTTTTTCTGCTGTTTTTCAACTGTAACATGACCTTAAGAGAAGCAGTGAATAAATGAGATGCTTGCTTCATTTTTGTTGTGTTGCTTGTCATGTTCTTGTAAGAGAAGAAAAACACAACCATTTATCTGTGAATACAAAGCACATTTAATCTAATATTTTCATATTCCCAAACGCTCTGTCCATGTTTCTCATATTTGGGGCCCCATGTGCCATGGTTTGCTCTCTGGTCAAGTATAGGAATCATGGAATTCATTTTGCATTGCACTGATAATGTAGACCACTTGTATTCTCAAATGTCTTCTGTAGAAGACTTTTTTATTACTATTATAATTATTATTTATTATTTTTATAATAAAACCCCCTGAAAGAAAACCCCACCTAGAAAATTAATTGATTATATAGCTGTCCTGGTAACTTTGCATACCCTAGTTGGCAGTAAATGTTTTATTTCTTTGTCTTTTAAGTTTGAATAATAGAATATCTATTTTTTTCACAGAACTGATTTTACTCAAACTGCAGAGACTTTAAAAAGTTTGGAAATCTCAGAAAGATCTCAAATGGAAGGATTGTCTTTAGTAGTGCCTCATAAACTTGAATGTTTTTAAGTGTAAGTCAATCTCTTCCTAAAGTAACGTGGGTCTTAAACATTCAGGTCTATTAAAACTTTATCAAAACTAATTGGAGGCTGAAATATTATAATTACTGTTAATTTGAATAAGTGTATTCAGTTTAGCTATGCACATGTAAGTCAGAAATCGTAACTGCATTGCAATCAATATAAATATCAAAATCTCTTGCAATGTTTATCTTCTTATAAATTGACAAACATTTCAGAGTTTGTAATGAAACATTTTTTACACAATTTTTGACAGTTATGTAATTGTGGACCACTAAGCATAGCTGCAGATGTGGGGAAGTGTTTTTTTTCTGACAACTCAGGCCTTGGGTGACTCTCATGGATCATCTTTCTTATGATGACTTATTTACCAAATGAACAGAGGAGTTATATGCCATGTAAATAATACAGAAATAACAGGTTTGGAAAATATGAACTCCTATTTTAGTTACATTAAAACTATTTTTTTCTTTTGTTTGCTTGTAATTTTTTTTTTACTGTGGTATTTTCAGACTTGAGGTGTTTTTCCAGCCCTCAGCATCTGAACAGACCATATCAGAAATGATCTTTGAAAAGCACAACAGCAGCATTTCTTTACTCCAGTATGTAATCCACTTCCAGCTTTTAATTGAAAAAGGTTGGATTATTGCTTTTAATTTAAAGCTTTCATCAGCTTTTAAAATTGATAGTACCTATATTCACAAGGGATTAAGAAAGAAAATAAGTATACATTTTCACAGCCTTTAAATCACATAATTTACCACTGAAATTAATGTGTATCATCTTGAATTATTATTTGATCTTATACATAAGTGCTTTGCTATTTAAAAAGAGTCTTAATAACAAATTTACCAAAGACAGTTCAAAGCCCTTTTATCAATTTTTTTTCATTAGTATCTCCCATTTTCATTTCATTACTTTTGTTCCTTACCACCTTCTTCATCCAGAAAAATAAGTAACAGCCAGTGTCGCTTTTGAAATGGAAAAATGGTTTCAAATCACTGGCAAAGCTTAATGACTTCTGACTGCTGAGATATGTTAATTTAAGCCAGACCAAATGTTCCTCAGCTGCAAATATTTGGTGTTGTTCACTGGGAACTGGCAAGATTTATGAGGGCCCAGTGGCAAAGGCTCTCTGCTCACATGCCTCACATTACAATTGTTTCACATGTTAGATGATAAAAGGCTGTTTGAAAAAAAAGAAAAAAGGGGGAGGAAGGAAAAGAATCAACTTTTCACAGAAAATGTGTATAGGCCCAAAGAGGATGAGGACCTGGAAAGACAGCTATGCTTTTTTCTGTCAATGAATCTTCTCAAAGAACCATTTAACTGCTGAATTAATGTGGTATTCTCATGCCAATCTGCATTCTTTTCACCCTCGCAAAACATCAAAATCCATGTGACTGGATGGTTCAAAGCACTGGTAATGGAGCATAGAGGACTTTTTTTTTTTTTAACTTCTAGGTGGCCAGTCCAAACCTACTGCAAACTGATAGTTGCCAAAAGTCTTTAACCTTTGGCCCTTGGTTGTTTTTGAGAAATTAAGTTAGTGAGCTCAGTTTAGTAATGTGTAGACGGGTATCTACATCATGAATAGCACAGTAACTTATTCTGATAGACATTCTTGATAGGGGAATCTTACCCAGATAAGGCAGACACTGAACTGTTCTCTGGGAGAAGGCACCTGTTTGAATAGCACATCAATAGGAAAAATCTGTGAAAGCATTCCCTGACATTAGTTTGCAAGACTGTAAATTGCGAAGCATTCAATCTGTTATAATTCTAAAATAACAGCAAAGAAAAACAGTAGAGGGAATGGACCACAAGTGATGTTCATAAATTTAGTTTTTTTCATATATGTTAAATGAAACTTTTACCTGCTTCATTATTTAAAAAATTAATTCCTCATGGCTTTACATTTAATTTTTAATTTGTAAGTGATTGTGAAATTTGAGGGTCTTACAGTATTCCTAAAGGTTCTAATAGGATTAGATTTATTTTTTTTTTCTGAGAGCAGACGCCAAAAATTATCACTGGAAAATCCTGGTGTGCAGAGAAATGAATGAATACTTTCTCTGCTGGACTGGATTAAATAACATGACACCTATAGCCCCTCTCCTACCTTTAAAATCTTTGGAGCAAATGTAACTTTGCTTTCCAAGTCTGTCTGAGGTTGTTATTGTCAAAAGCCTAATTGCTGCTTTCATGCACACAGGTAAACTCAGTATTAGAGCTGCTGGTTTACCACTGCTGCTAATGCTTCACTACTGTTTTTTGTAACCTATTTCTTCTTATACCTGATAGAACAAGTAAGTTCTTCCAAAATTCAGAGGAAGGGAGGGTAAAGCGTCTTTACTAATGCTGGATGAAATCACCTCCAAAACCAGACAAAAATCTTACAGGATATTTCCATGGAAGTCTTGAGGGCATCCTGAGCTGAGTGAGCATCAGCGTGAATTCATTCAAACTTTATGGTATGGATGTTTGCAATCAGAATAGATTAACCCTGATTATACAAATCAGCCACGGTGAAGGTCTACTAAGCACAGAAATGACTGCTCTAATGATTATAAGGTGATAACTCCTGAGCAGCATTCAGGGTTTTCACTGAAGGTAGTGGAAGCTATGAGGGCTAAGTGCATTCCTAGCCTTTCAAACAGGAAAGAGAAATGCCTCTGCAGGGATAAAAATGCCCCCTTGAGTGTTAAGAAAGGATTTTCACTTTTTCAAAAGTACATAATGATTCTCACAGACAAGAGAAACATCTTGAAATAAATAAACTGAATGTTGGAGGTTTGGGGTTTTTTAAATGTTTATTAACTAAAATATAAAAATTATTATGCTCATATTTGCATTTAGGCTGAAACTATTGTTCCTTAGGGAAAAAAATGCACCATGTATTTGCGTTAAATACTCTAATTATGCTCTTCACTGTGATAAAAGGAAAAAAAAGCTGACAGCCAACAAAAGAAAAAAAAATCCAAATTCTTTTCTTGCTTTAAATATGACAGAGATTGTAAAAAGCAATATTTTTACCCTTGAAATGTTTAGAAGTATTGACATTCTGTCCACTCAATTGTCAGCCTGTCTTTAGAGATAGAGCTTCGAGGTTCTTAGCATTTAGTAAACTGACACTGATCTCTACTCTTCTTTAAACTTGTATGCAATTCCTGTCTTAAAAAAAAAAAAAACACCTCCATGATACCACGAAAGGTTACTCTTGCTGTAGACACTTCAAAAATTCTGTGCTATCCTTATGGCTGTTTTTCTGGTCTTCCAAATTTGTATTAATATATAAACCTTATTAGTTTTAATTTAAATTTCAACAAAGCTTGAAAAGGGATTTGGGAATATTATGGACTGCTGTTCCTGGGGGTACATACAGAAGTTTTAGCTTGTGCTACTGTAAAGAAGCTCCTTGGAGCCTCAGACCCAGTGAGGAAGGGGAAGTGGCAGAACCTATGTGGAGGTAGAGCAAAGAGCTGGTGGAGTTAGAGGCATACCTGGGAGGCAAGATCTGTCTTCACAGCTGCTTTTGTTAATCCAGTGAGAGTTTGTGTATGTTACCTGGTCAGCACAAAATCAGCTTCGTGAATCTGAGGGTCCAGCTTTGTGTGCTTAACACTAAAGTATGTGTCAAAGCCTGCCTTTCTTACCTGAGCAAAACTCTGGTGGAATTTAAATAAATGTTCGACATGAAAGCCCGAAAAAAAGGATTTGCTCCTTTATGTACCAAATAGGTATATAAACAAAATTAGCTGCATGTTCATAAAGGTTAAAGCAAGAAGAAGTTTAACACTGTAGAATAAATTGCCAAACCTTCCTAGCAGAAGCAATGACATTGCTTGATTTCTCTGTCATTATTCATATTGCACTGTTTACTTTAGAATACTAGAAAAGTCCCTTATGATTTAAATAAAGTTTGTCATGTTTTACTTCTGTTGGCATCCAAATGCTTCACTGATAACATATCTGCTAAATTTCTCTGTTTTCTTTTGCTCCTGCTTCTGTGATGAAGCATGATCTGTGGTATTTAATGTAATCGGAGTATCGTTAATTTTCTGCTAAAATGTTTCTGCATATGGCCATGCAAAATAAGTACCTACCATGCCATCAGTTGGTTAAAGAATCAAAATGAGGATGACAGTGTTTTTCTAAAGGAGATTTCTCTGAATCTTTCCACCCACAGGCTCTGTTGAAGGCAGTAAATAGTCCATTTTTGTTAATGAAGCTTCACTCATACAGCTGGGATTGTTTAATATTTTACGAGTGTTACTTTGTTTTGCTCTCAACGATCTCAGGCAGTTAAGGATTTATGAATCGTGTTTTTCTCAGCCCATCTGCGGTTTCCTATCTTCCCTGGCCTTGAGAATATGTTTAAATTTATTAAAGCGAAGCAAAGGCTCATTATTTCAAAGGAGAGCCAAAGTGACACAGTGAATTGGTTATTAATGGAAAGGCACTGCCATAGGGCGATTGAAATTTAATGATATCCTACAAGAAAAAAATGAGGGTGTCACTTTCCAAAAAGTCATGCTAAATGCCAGCCTTTTTAAGGTCCTGCCGCTAATTTTATGCCTGCGCACAGTAATGTTTTCAAAAGCGTTTAGGAAACACGGACCAGTGACTGTACTGATTATCCTTTTCACCTTCTCGCCTGTTCCAAATGGGTTTGTGCAGTGAGCGATTTAATCTCTAAATATAGGGAACGTTAAAAAAAATAACATTGCTGTTTTTCACAAGCTAAGGGCCTTTTGCAATCCTCCAGAGATGGACTTGCAAATATGCTATCTCCATATGCTCACAGTAAGCTCTCAAACTGGCTCATCACCAAAAAAAAAGGAAACCAGAAAACTTCAATCACTTTATTTCTTCTGCTTTTCTGTCATTCAAGAGATGTTTTATGTACACAGAGTACATTTAGCAAAATTTAAGTCACACGTGATTAGAGCATACCTAGGAATCTCTGAAATTTCTCAGTTTTCTCCTGATTAGTCTGTGTTTTCTTTCAGCAAACAGTTCTTGTTTCCTGAAATGCCTTCCACCTGTTTCTGGATTATTCTTAGTTTTTAATATAATGTTCATATAGACTTTGTCACTATGTTTTCTCAGTTTGAAAGACAAACTGTACAATTTCCTGGCAAAATTCAGTGTATTCTTCTGAAGTGAATGTTGAGGCTTGGGGGCTTTTTGTATGGTTGGTTGGTTTGGGCTTTTTTAAAAAATTTGAGCTGGTTATAATTCTCAGACCACAGGGACCCTATAATGTGGTCCTTAAGTGACTGTTGAAAGAGTTCCAAATGGAAGAGGGAGATGAGGAGAAAGGGGAAATACCTGTCCTAGGGCTGCAGGATCAGGCTGATAGAAACTTGCTGATGATGCTGGTGCTCAGTGGAGTATTATTGTTTAATGTTCCAGTGCTAGTGATAACTGTATGGTTCCTTCTAGTTGCATGTTTCAACATGTGATTTACTACAACTATAACCATGTTTAAGCACAATTGAGGAACACGGATTGAGGATAAATCATGGATAACACAAGGTCTGTGTAAATGTCTGGACAGAAAATAGCTTGTGATAACCATGTCAAAAAAGCAGGCTTTACATCAGACACCTCACAATGTTAGATGACTGCTCCTTTGTAAAAGCAGAAGAACTGGTGAAGGATTCTCATGCCATGACAACAAAGCTGCTATGGCTACACAAGCTATTGTTTGACCTTCTTCAGTTCTCAGCCATTGGGATGAAGAATCCCCTTTAATACTTCCCCATAGCTGTTCTCCTAAGATATCAGCTCCCGCAGAAAGCATACAAATATGCAGCAAAGTGAAAAGGGGTAGTAGCATAAAGGGATATTTGGTATCAATCATCCTCAGTTAATACAGAAGTGGTAGAAGTCTTTGGTGGAAAAGACATGCTAGGTCACCTAGTTCATCTTTCTGCTGGTGCGGGAAATGTTCCCGACATATATTTTCTAGTGCCCTGTCCAGTCTAGTTTAAATACCTGATGCAACTCATTTATATTTATATTGTAATTTTCTTACAAACATAAATATAAAACCAAACTTCAGACGTTGCCCTTGACAGGCATATTAGTAACAAATCATTTTCTAACCTTGTGTATGGTAAATTTCCAACCATCTGCTGACAGGTAAACAGAATTTTTATTTTTTTTTTTTATTCTCAGAATACTTTCAGTACTCAGTCTCATCAAATGAAATAATAATAAAAACAACAACCTTAATTATAAAACGACAGCACCATGTTGTTTCTAAATGGAGAAATGTTGCCCTTTCTGGAGGTGTGAATGTGACAAGCATCCCCTGCTCTTCCTACATGAAGGATAACCTGTGATCTTAAACATACAATCTGCTGTCTGCATGCCACAGAGGTGGAGGCAGTCTCCACTAGTAGCCATCTCCCTACCTTTTACACATTAGCAGCCCTAAAAAAAAATTAAATTATTGCCAAATTTTGATCTCTTTCTCCTACAGAGCAGGATGCTGGGGCAAGAGCTTCTGGTTTGTTCTGTCTATAGAAAAGTTGCAGTGGGAAGAGTAATTTGCAGAATGGAGCCAGGCTAGGTGACATGAGACATGGTGAGTGTCATTTCTGAGAAAGTAGCAGACACTGTTTCATACGCCTCGGTCTTGGATCTGTGTGTGGGTGCTGGCAGTGTTGCCTGTTCTGCAGGAAGCAAAAGCTCCTTCTCAGTCTATGGAAACCACTCAGTGAGAGGGTCTTGCTCTGATTAACACCAGGAGATGGAGGGGTTAGCTTCTGTGGAGTGCTCACTGTCTTCTTCTCTGGCTTAAATCACTGAAAAGGAAGGATCTATCTGGGTCCAAGAATTGCTATAGCCAATGCCATGCCTTCACAGGGACTTTCTGTTGTCTGGGGCGAGGGGGTAGAAAAGTCAGAAAATAGGGTTGGTGAGACCAGCAAACACTGTGTAAACTGAGCCCTAATAGGATTTGCATACAATTTTAAAGAACACGTGGAGAAATGGTGACTCAAGGGCCTGCAACTTCGGTCCCTCTGAGCTCCCTGTTTTAACCATAAACTTATCATCTTATAACCTTTCTAACAAAGACATAGCCACTTCAGCTACATATATTTTGATTGTTTCATGACAGTTTACTGGAGGTTTAGCAATGACAGATTTCTTCATTGTCTTTTTGCCAAAATTTGTCCTTTAAGTCATTTTTGTTGACTGCCCCTTTTAGCAGCTCACCTCACAATGAGAGAGGAGACAATTAATGGGAGGGTGATTTATCACTGCCAAAAACTGTCAAGGACTTCTGTTGTAGCTGGAGAAAAAGCAATTTCACATTATGGCATTTCATTCCGAATACATTGTATTTACAGCTCACAGTTTTATTTTCAGAGCCTATTATCAGGTGAAACAGTTGCATCTGAAATGTTGTTTGTGACATAGGTGACCTGTTAGGATTTGATAAGTATTTACGCCAGAGCACAAGGGGCTCACACATCTGCTGTTGGCAGAAGCAATGGAAAAAAATAACCTGGAAATGAGGCGTTTGATTTTTCTGGTTCCTACACTCGAGCATCTGTTGCTATAATTAAGTGGCATTCAGTAATTGCAGAGCAATGGTGAAATAAACATATGCATTCTTGCCAGCTTTTAGGATTTGGTGTCCTTACAGTAGGAGAGACAAGCAAAGTGACTTCAGCAAGAACAAAGGGCTCTGTAACAAAGTTTAGCAATTAACTTTCCTATTGCATAAAGAGGAATTTTACAAGGAAAAAGAAATAGAGGAAAGAAAAAAAAATCTAAATTGGCCAGTAGCTTTTGTACATTTAAACCGATCGCCGCAAGAGCTAAAGCAGAATGTTGAACTGGGAGCATGTTAACATTTTTTTGTTGGATGTAGTTGTATTTAGAAAATAAAAATTGAGCATGCAATACTAACTAAATAAACAAGGATGCAAGAAATCTATTATACTGAGAGAGTTTATAATGAAATTTATTCCTTGAATTTGAAGGGGGAGTTGAGATCTCTGTGAGGGCCCCTGCTGCCTTTGTTTATGCCTCAATTGTGGTGTAAATGAAAACAGAACCTGGTGGTCAGTATAAGTTAAAGAACACTGGTTAAAACAGGCTTTTTAAATAAATCATTTATAGGACATTAGTTAAACATCAGATATTCCTTATTCTGTGGTGAGATTCAGTATACTTTTTTAGATTATTTTTTAGAAGTAGGATGAACTGGAAGTATATTTTTTCTGAGAAAGGATTGCAGTCAGAACACTGTCTCATCTGATCAGCAGTTATGTGATTGTTGTAGTTTTTTGCCTTTTACGAACAGGCTGTCCAACAAGTTGTCTCAACAATGGCCCTTGTACTAAAAATAAAAATAAAAATGGATAATTGAATAGCAGTACCCATGTAACCCAACAGATATGTGGCAGATGTAGCATGTTATAAATTCTGAGAACCTAAGAATAGAAAAGAGTGTCTGTCTCTTGCTGTCTGTCGAAGCCAATAAAGAGTGAGCATGAAAAAGAGCTCTTGGTATTGTCTGAGGAGGCCATTCTTATATATGCTTTGGCACTTTCACTTGCATGGTCTGGAGCAAGTTTGACATCAACTATGCCCCTGCCTTTTTGGCTGGTGGGTGAAGTAAGAGGAACCACTGTGCAGTGGGCAGAAAAAAATTTCAGTAAGTATCTTGAATATATGCATAGATACATATATGCATAGGTACACATCCATATATACTCACATCCACATATGCAGAGAGAGGAAAAGAGATGTAACATCAATGAAACAAAGAGAAAAATATCTTGTTTAGTGGAGATAGGACAAGACTAAAAAGTGAAAATAGCTGATATTTTTTATTTCAGTTCCCATCACTTACATTCATTTCTACATGGCCATAGCAAGCCATAACAAGTCAGTCAGAGCTTTAAAGAACTCACAGGATCAGGATCTTTGTTGTATCTGAACGTAAATGTCAGATTGCTTTTCTCACTTTACTGTTCAGATAGTGAAACTGAATCTGTTAATGAATTTTGTTTGCAAATGCAAATATTTTGAGGAGTAGGTGTAGCTTTCTAATCTGATAAAATAGAATATTATTTTTAGCTGCATTTAATTAAATCTAATGTTAATTTAAGTAACTACAATTTAAAAGTTATTATTGCAATATGCATTTCA